TATGGCATCATGCCGTACGGGAGAAAAGAACGAATCCATTGTTCCGGTACGTCTCAGCGATATAAAGAGGGAAAAGCATGTCAACTTGCTGCACATTTCGAATCCTCAACGAGACCACAACACGGGACATTTTGCTTGGATTAAGGATTTATCTCGACTCATGAGTTCTCAATTGAGCAAGAAAAAAGCCAGAAAATACATTTGCGATCGGTAAGTACATTTCATGAATTCAATGTATAGGAAGTATGAGACAATAGTAAATTGCAATGTTTTTTATAGATGCCTGCACTATTTCCATTCCAACGAGAAACTAGAGAGTCACACCACAGACTACGAAAAATTAAACGACTGCGCCATCCTGCCACCCAGCGAGGACAACAAGTGGCTAAACTTTCGCAATTACAGCAGAAAGGAGCGAGTTCCATTTGTGGTGTATGCCGACCTTGAGTGCATCTTACAGAAGACGGTAAGTGAGAAGGAAGAGGAGGGATGTACATCGCACGCGTATCAGCATCACAAAGTATTTAGTATAGTATATTACTTGCGTTGCTCGTACGACGATTCGTTATCATATTTTCGGAGCCGCGATACGAATTGTATTTTGTGGTTCGTCGAGCAACTAGAAAAGTTAGCACACCGTGTAAAAGAAAAGTTATCAACCAATGTCGACATGGAAACTTTGTCGAAGGAACAGTGGGCGGCATTTCATAACGCGACGCAATGTCACGTGTGCGAGAAGCCATTTGCGACAAAGGATACACGCGTACGCGATCATTGTCACTTCACCGGACTGTATAGAGATCCCGCGCACTCAAACTGTAATTTAAATTATAAAACTTCATATCATATTCCAATAGGTTTTCACAATTTATCTGGTTGTGATTTACATTTTATTATCGAAGAAATAGCTAACGCATCAATCGATGTACTACCGATAACAAAAGAAAAATATATTTCGTTTACAAAGAACGTCCAAGATACAGCAGATAAATATAAAAATATTGTAAAATTGCGTTTCATCGATTCCTATAAATTTTTCAGCAGCAGTCTCGACAAATTAACATCCTTTCTCACTAAAGACAAGTTAAAAATTGTACGGTCAGAATTTTCACAATTATCCGTCGAAAAATTTGATTTATTGACGCGAAAAGGTATCTTTCCGTACGAATACGTGGATTGTGTGGACAAGCTGCAGGATGTGTGTTTACCGCCGCGAGAATCGTCTCACAGTTCGTTGACGGGCGATACGGTATCCGAGAGCGATTACGTGCACGCTGCAAACGTCTGGTAACGATTCTCTATTCGAACCTTGGGCGAATACAACAATTTGTTTTTTACTTGAAGACTAATGTCTTGTTGTTGGCCGATATTTTTGAAAATTTTCGCGATAGCTGTATCGCAAGTTATGGATTAGATCCTGCGTATTATTATACTTTGCCAGGTTTTATGTGGGATGCAATGTTGAAACATACCGGCATAAATTTTGAATTGCTCACTGACATTGATATGCTCATGTTCATCGAACACGGTATACGTGGTGGCTTGTCAATGCTCCGGTAGATACGCGCAAGCCAATAACAAGTACATGCAGTCTTACGATCCATCGAAATTGTCGTCGTACCTGATGTACTTTGACGTAAACAACTTGTACGGGTGGGCAATGTGTCAACCGCTGCCTTACGCTGAATTTTAATGGGTTACAAACTTTTCAAAATTTGATGTATCTTCAATCGCTATCGATTCACCCATAGGTTATATTCTCGAGGTCGACTTGGAGTATCCGGAAGATTTACATGACGCACACGCTGACCTACCGTTTTGCCCAACGCGTGATAAACCATCCGGTAAAAGACAGGAAAAACTTCTCGCGACGCTATACAATAAACAACGTTATGTTATTCATTATCGCAACCTGCAGCAGTGCACGCGTCATGGTCTTCGTATCGTAAAGATATACCGCGTGCTTCAATTTGTTCAATCTCCATGGCTCTGCGATTATATCGA